CATGAACTCATCTCTAGTTGAGTATAAATACCACACTAGCGTGGGCCCCGACCATTTGGCCAGAGAAGGTGAGATATGAAATTTGATAATGTAATGGGATGTATAGCTTATTGTTGTATAGTTTTTTTTTTGGAAACACGTGATAAAAATAGTGAATTTTAGTAGGAAAGAGACATGAATGATACAACGAATCAAAAATCAGCCTTATGAACCAAAATCAAGTACATGTTACCTTGTGAAACAATATTTTTTCTGGTAATATGATGAGGTGGAGTAAGTTTTATAGAAACCGAATTCTAGAAAATCGAATAAAAAATCGCTTATCCCGCCGATTTTCGGGAAATGAGCATCTCACAATTGTTGCTAGCTTTTACTCTGCCCGTTGGCCGATTAATATGCTTTATAAAACTTCATCTTGTCATCATTGTGCTTTCTGGTTTTTTGCCAAGCCATGATAAAATCTAAAGAAATCAAGAATGAACAACACGATTTGGGATAGGAACCAATGTTCCTGTATCCCTAGAAAATGGTGGTAAACACGGACTCACCTGCCAAACTGGTTTGGATTGAGATTTTTATCGGGTATCAGGGAACCATGTGATTATAAATTAGACTTGATCAAAACTGGCCAAAACTTGAAATTAGCCTGTTTGACCGACCCATGCCAAACTCTAATTATTCTTTACTTTTAAACTTTCTATTTGAAAATAAAAAATAATGAAAGAAAAGAGATGACTGCAATTCGCCATTTGCACATCACTGATTCGGGAATAAACTATAGAATTTCGAAAGGAAACTGAAAATGTTCAGGATCGTTTTAATGTTAAAAATAACCAAATAGATCTTTCTGTTTAGTTTTTTACTAACAAATACCAAACGATTCCCTATAATATACACTATAATTTAATCATTATGATATCAAATAATTACATAATATATATTTGAAATGATAAAAATTGGACTAATTGGGTTGGTCGAGGTTGAACCATTGAATAACTTTAAACTACATTATATTTTAGCCACTAAGATATAAAATAATAGCATAATATATATTATGCTAGAGAAAATAGCTTGTTTTAGAATGGCAAACCCATGATGTTCATTTGTTTTACTTGATGGGCAAATTCCGTGTAGGTCAGGCTCATTCAACTCTTTTATTTTATGATTAGCGGTTAGCCCATTAGAATCCATGCATTAGTTTACTAGATTTGTGCCCGGCCTGTTGGCCGGGTGAGTTTGCATTTTATCTTATAGATCGAATAATTTAAATGCATATTTTAATATTATTGTCAGTATTTTAAGTCATTTGTGTTTTTACAACTAATTTTCAAGAACATTATTACAACGTTTTTCAATTTAGGTTTATTGGATCGTAATTCAATCATTGTTTTTTACAATTTAGTTTTACATGTTCATTTTTCTAGGAAGAAAAGAAGTCAAATATTATTTATGGAATATAAGAAATTTCTGATATGCTTATGTGAGAAACCTTCTCCAAATCGGGCAAAAGAGTAAACGAAATCCCTTGCCCTCTTACATGTGACATTAATTTTAAAAAAAATCTACCAACATTTATCATATAGAAACATGATAATTCGATCTCTCTTATTTGTAATCATATCCTTCTAGGAGGTTTAAAAAAATATCACTATGAAATATTGAAATTTAATTCCAATTTGTCAATCAAATTTATTATTTATACTTGATACATGAATGTATGTTTGTTCTCAATATCTAATGTTTGAATTGTATATGATAAGTGAAATATCTATTTGTTTATTAATGATGAGATAACCAAACAAACTGTTATGTTACAAATGATCACCTTGTTTAAGAGAGGCTTGAAAATTACAGTATGATTAATCGAAACTAAAAGTGAAGGCCCTGTTTACTTTCATTTCTGTTTCCTGTTTTTGAGAAAACAGATGTTGAAAACAGGTGAAAACGACATTTTTTCGTTTTCGAAAACAGTAGGAAGCTGTCACTTTCTGTTTTCAGAGTTGGAAACGAATAGAAAACAGAATTAAAAGTAAACATATTTTCTCGTTTCGTTTGCCAAATTTATAACATGAAAACAGAAAACAGGAAACGAAAATGGAAGTGAACAAGCCCGAAGTGTCATGAATCAACATTCGTCACAAAATTGTCATGCTAAATTAATTGAAAACCTAACCACATTGCATCCTCCTCCCCTGCAGCACTCACTGCTTGTTACTTTAATGTGGCAATTGAATAGGCGAAGTCAAAGTAGTTGTAATTGGTAGGGAGGAAAAAGGGGATTGAAAAGGAAAGCATAGACAGAGCAGCCATTAAAAGGGGCAAACAAATTGGAGCTTTAATCTATGTAGAAGTGGAATTACCTGTGGGAATCCAGATCACTTGTTGGAAATAAGAATGTAAACGACGTTGCTGGTATGTTGAGCGCAGTCGGCGGCGGGAACTTTGTGGGTTCGCCGTACAGTGCACAGAATAATGAGGTCAAAGAACGAAAGGGGAAAAGGAAGAGGACGGTTGGCAGATGGGGAATCCTGGGTCTGCAGAACAAATGATTGAATATTTTGAGGGCGATCGCGGCAGGGTTAAAAGGAAATTGGAAGGCCGGCGTCGGCGCGGAATAGGGATTCTGTATACGGAGATGAGAGGGAGGAGGAAGTAGTGGTCTGGGCGGGACGGGAGTTTGTGGGCGATAAGGGAAAAAAATACTTTACAAAAAACTAAAGGGCCCAGTAAGAGAAAAGAGAGCGGGTGACGTGGAAGGCTGTGCGTCAAATGCAGGGTACGTGGCATGGGGCCAAATATCAAACTGCTTTAATGTTTTGTTAGATTGTTAAAAGTTTTTTCTTTTTAGCAATAAAAAGGAGTATTGTTTTTGCCTTTTCATATATTTTTTAGGCAAAATACAGCTGTATATCCACAACTATCAAGTTTGTGACAAATATATCCATAACTATCGAAATACACGAAATATCCATTTCCGTCCACTCCGTTAACTCCGTCGGTTAACTTGATGACTGGACAGACGATGGATTCTTAGTTGGCGTGCTTCTGGCCCCACTAAATGACGTGGATGAAAAGAGGGGAAAAAATTAGGCAAAATACAGTTGTATATCCACAACTATCAGGTTTGTGACAAATATATCCACGACTATCGAAATACACGAAATATCCAAAAATCGGAAGGTTATGTAACAAATCTATCAACTTTCGTATGAAACTATAACGGCATGTCAGACGGCATTAAATTGACTAACAAAATGCTGAATCGATGCCATCTCACCTGCCATAAGCCAAAAAGCAACCAAACTTTACACCGTTATCTGTTAGACCTCGATGTTGTAGTCTTCTCTGTTGGCGATTTGGTTAGATTCAAACTTGGTATCACCATGGCACCGACTGCATGGAAGTCGTTTGAGTAAAATGGAGGCAATGGTTGAGGATTGTGGTTGGAATCAAAATATGGGCTTGGGATAGGGTTATTTGGGGGTGGAGGCGTCGATCAGAGGAGGATCAGTGGTTATCGGGCGTGTTTCTATGTTGGGTTTTTAGTCTTGCTGTATGTGGTTTTTAGGGTTTTTAATTTTTTTCTCTTTTAATCCACGTCATTCAGTGGGTCAGAAACACGTCAACTAAGCATCCACCGTTTGTCCAGTCATCAAGTTAACTGACGGAGTTAACAGAGTGGACGGAAATGGATATTTCGTGTATTTCGATAGTTGTGGATATATTTGTCACAAACCTGATAGTGGTGGATATATTTGTCACAAACCTGATAGTTGTGGATATACAGTTGTATTTTGCCTTTATTCAACTAGCCTATTTGGCATCTACGTGTAAAGTTTGGTTGCTTTTTGGCTTATGTGGCAGATGAGCTGGCATCGATTCAACATTCCGTTAGTCAATTTAACGCCGTCTGACACGCCGTTATAGTTTCAGACGGAAGTGGATAGATTTGTCACACAACCTTCCGATTTTTGGATATTTCGTGTATTTCGATAGTTGTGGATATATTTGTCACAAACCTGATAGTTGTGGATATACAGCTGTATTTTGCCTATTTTTTACCACCACGGAGAAATAAAAGGACTTAAAGAAAAAATTGACACTCCTGGACCCGTTTAAATCCACATGTGTGCGGTAAGTTGGCCCGTTCCACAGAGGAAAAAGAAAAAAATTGACACTCCCTATTCTACCCTTCCTACAAACGCTCCTGGAGGAGGGAATTTGAAATGGGAGAAGAGTTTTTTCCTCTCTACGATTATATGTTTTTAATTTAAAAAGATACAACAAATGTACTTAGTGTGATTGGTTATGAACTTTGCTTTTCTTTAAAGTGGTCATGGTTTGAATCCTAGTAAGTGTCTTTTTAATGAATAATAAAAAGTAATTGTAAAGACCAAAATGTCTTTCCTACTTTCAATCTGTATACAAGAAATTTGAAATGGGGCTTCAAGTTTTCTAATTTGGCTTTTATTTATTGTGTAGATGAGAGCATTGATGGTAAACTCAACTACCCTCTCTAAACCTAACTCATATTCTTTCTCGCCTCACTCGTGTTCCACATAAACCGCATAGTACTTTCTAGGCTCTTTCTCGCCTCACTCGTGTTCCACATAAACCGCATAGTATTTTCTAGGATAAATTACATGTTTGGTCACTGGGTTGACTAAAAAGTGTCATGTTTAGTCATTAAAAATATTTAATTCCAATGTTGGTCACTCGAATTAATCAAACAATCCATGTTTGGTCACTCGAATTAGTGAAAGAGTCCAGGTTTGGTCAATTTCCGACGGATTGTTTGATTAATTTGAGTGACCAAACATGGATTGTTTGACTAATTCGAGTGATTAAACACGGACTGTTTGATTAATTCGAGTGACCACACATGAACTTTTTGATTATTTTGAGTGACTATTATTGGAATTAAATATTTCTAATGACTAAACATGACATTTTTTAATAAACTTAGTGACCAAACATGAACTTTACCCGTATTTTCTAGGCTCAAACAATTAATTATGTTCCAAGTTTAGGATTCCACTTCCCCTTGTAAATTTTCTTGCTTTGCAGTTATTGGCGGCGATGTCTAATTGCATAACTTTGGCTATGCAGGGGATCTGTTGCCCAGAACTACTGCAGCTGTGCCTGCCTCGTCCCAACAATGAGAAATAGAACCAACATTGCAGAACCTCATAATATAACGACAATAACTAATATATAAACAACCAAAAAGGTAGATTCGAATAGTTATCTACATAAACTGGCTTTGGCTTTTGGTGGAAGGAAACACCCTCACATTCTTCCCCTTTCAAACCGAAAAAAACCATTTACATTTTCATTTCCATCCCCATTGTTACCGTCAATGGCCAAAGTAACTTGAAAGACAAAAATCCCCTGTTTCCTCAAAGCGCATTCACCAGCATCGACTCAGCTGCCACCACCGCTGCACCGGCAACCGCCTTTATATGACTAGCTAACTCCCTATACTCCTAATTAATCCAGACCCAAATGAATCATCCCCTTCATCATCTATCTGCATACCACAAAATACCCACTCCATCAGGCACTCTGCAACAGCTTCAGTCTTTTAAAGCACCACAAGGAATCAATTAGAGATCTGGTTAAACAAGGAATATGGAAAAAAACCAACATGTACATCACAAAATGCTGAAGACTGTTCACGTGCATTGGATCTTCGGTTGTGTCTGAAGCCAACCCCATCCCCTGGCCTGACTAACCAAAGCCAAAACCTTCACTGGCCTCATGAATAGCGAGCAGCATACGTTCTTGGAGCTGTTCTTTTGAGGTATACTCTGGAAGATCTAGTTGGTTGAAGCTGGAAAACCCCATCAACATGTTAGACTTGGGTGCAAAAAAAAAAAAAAAAACAATGGAACCAGACAGATTAAGAACCACTGGCATATTGTATACAAACCACGTGTGAGCTGAAGGCAAGCGTTCAGGAGCTCCATATGCTTTGTGTATCTGGAACCTTTGAGGACCAGAGATGCCCTGCAATGCCTTGAAACCTTCCAGTGGAACCTGAAAAAAACATCCTCGGCCGTTTCATTTCTTCAAATCACTAGGCTAGGAGATTTAAAAGGAAAAACACATCACACCTGCAACTGGACCAGACTTTTTTTCAGACACCAGTGCCCAGTGTGATACACAAACATTACCTTTGATGTTCCTGTGACAAATTGTAATAGTCTAGCCATGTCTTCTTTGTTGAACCCTTGAACTACCTCCCAGAACCACTGAACAACACTGGAACCACCACTATATCCAGTATACTCTGTATTGGCCTTCAGATCTTCCACTGCAACAGTATAGCTTACTAAGTTGATCATAGGGGAAAAAAGAAGAAGCAAACCACATGGTGCTAGTTACATGGAGCTCAGAGTCAGAGTATATGCATAGAGAAAGGAAGTCAAACTCACAGTCAATTTCAGGAAGTCCACTGATCAGTAGCTCCAGCTCCTTGTCATTAAAAATTGAAATCAAATCCCGAGGAATCAATTCATTGAACCCATCTAGGAAGGAGTTTATCTGAGGCCGGATGGCATTTGTCAATATATGGTCCGCAACAAGGTCCACATACTCGTGCTTCGTCTCTTCTGTAACTCTTATATTCCTCCCTCCAGGTTTAAGCTCGTAATCAGTAACCTACCAACATAACAGAAGAAGAAAAAAGAACTTAGTAAATAGCCGAAGCTAAGGTGAAAGGAATGACACAAGATAAGAAGAACTGCCACCAGCACTCAGGGCCTGAGAAGGTAAATCTCAATATGTTTCTGCATACTATGCCTACCTCGTTTTTCTCATAAAGGATGTGTTTCTCCTCATCAGGATCCATGCTGAATGTCAGGTCCGGTATATCACTCACGTCATTCTGAGAAAGACAATTTGTCATGCCAAGTTGCTAACCGAAACAAACTTCACTTTCAAAGGTTCATAGAACAACAAGGAAAATGGAAAACAAAAAAGCAAAAATCACTCCACAAACCTCTAGCATCCACTTTAAATTCTTGTAGTAATCAGGATCCACAGCCTCTATGTCATGGTAAGTCACCTTTACACCTAGAATGTGCTTATAGAAAGACCGGGTGAAATAAACATCCAAGAGCTGGCCATCAAACAATGCCTTTGCAACCTGTTTCATAAACAGCAAATGTAAACTTATCAGCAAGCCAGTGCCATAAGAGTAAAAATTTGATTATACAAAGTTCAAGGGATTAATTACCACACGGCCCACGAATCTGAAATAGGAAAGATGCTCAGTTTGATAGACAGAATTTGGATTTGGCTGGAAAGTGGCGTTGTTTCCCACAGTAGTGAAAAGCAATGCTCCCTTATCAAAAATAACCCTTGACAATATTTGATACCATTCCCTAGTCAGGCCACCAGCATCAATGCCCTCTTCCCCTTGGAACTGCACATTCAGTCGTCCCCTGAGATCCTGAGTAGGCCGCATCCTCAGCTGATTGTAGGAATCCTCCAACACATATGCCCTTCGTACACTGATCCGCAGTGGACCAGACAGGTGTTGCTCATGCTGTTGCCTTATCCTTGATCGAAAATATGATCTTTTGTTGTCAAAGTCTATTAATCTTGGTGCCTTCAGCATCATAGAAAGTGACTTCTCCAGCAATGCAGGGCTCTGTCTAATAAATGCATTCAGAAGTCGACGATGCTTCTCAGCAAACCGAGCAAATGTCACTGAACCGTCGAGCTTTTTATGTGTATCCCCCGCCCCCGCCCCCGACTCTTTGACTTCACCAGCTGTTGTTGTGTCAGTAGCATGATGATCTTGCTGCACGGAAGAAGTATTTGCTGCTTGAATCTTTTCACACAAAACAAAGAATGCTTCTATGAAAGGCAGGAGTCTATGGGTTCCAGGAGGAAGAGGAGACGATGAGGAGACACTCCCCTGTACATGATCCCCAAAAGTGGCACTGCTAGAAAGAGTCTTGTTCAATGTGGCCTGACCTAGGTGCATTTCTGTCACACTGATACATTCACTCAATTCATGCCATAATGGCTCAAGTGCAATGTTTAAGTTCAACATCGATGCATGCTCCTCCTGCTCTCCGCCTACATTCACAGCTGCCGGACCACTAGGCGAGGTGAGTGAACTAAGAACCTGGAGGACACGCAATATTGCTGCTCCAGCCATAGACCCAGAACTAAGACCTAGCATTTGAGTCTTCCTCAGCGTAACAAGTTCACTGACAGCTGAACTACTCAGACCATGTGCTAAATCTGAAAGCTCTGAGGTAAAGAACTTGCGAAGAGGGGAAGCAACTGATGCCAACTTCTTCAGTACTTCACCAGAAAGCATGTACACCTTATCTGACAGCCTGGAGTAGATAACAGCAAACATGTTTCAGAAGATATTACAAAATCATCATTCATATACAGTAAACTAGCAAGAAAAAAAGAAACCCACCCCTCGTGACCAAGAAGGCTACTCATATTCCGCAAATCAGATCTCGGCAACCGCATGAGAATACTGAGTGTATCAGTGCTCTTCTTTCTGTTGGAAGTTGATAACTCAGCAACTACAGCTTCATCTCCCTGAGTAGACTCTGGTTCCGCCTGAGCATCTGTCTTAGTATCACCACTTACTTCCCCACTTATTAGCTTGCGGGATTCCATATTTGATGCTGCTGTGTAAACTACCACTTGAAGTAAGCCCATAACCTGTGTCAAATTTTTTATTTGAATGGCTTTTAGATTCAGATAATTAGCGGGATCAAGGGTGAATATTTTCAAAGAAGTTGATTAAAAAAGAGTTTCGTTTAGCTATAAAGCCACCTTTTTCAAATGTGTATTCATTCTTCAACTCAAACACACCAAGGACAACAAGTGATCACTCATACCTGCTCAAGGTGTGCAGTGCTGCGGAAAAACAGAGGTCGATCTAAAAGCTTCAAGAACAGAACCAACGGAACATCATCTGTATCTCCACAAGGATTGCACAAAGCACCGCCATCCTCAAGTTTCCCTTTACCTTTGTCCAGCTTAGAGAGCAGAACATTTGTAACAGATTCCTCCGGCAAGAGAGAGGGGTCCAAGTGAAATAACATATTGGCAATTGATGAATGGTTTGTTGCCAAATATGTCAAAATCTCAAGAATGCGACACGACACCAAGGGAGGTAAACCTGTCAAAAAGACAAAATCAAACCAACAGATTGTTTGAGGAAGAAATCCATCATTAGTAATATAATAACCATGGCATAAAGAGAAATATAGTAACATACCATCCAACAACTGTGATCGGCCATAAACCACATTTGACTGGCAGCCATAAAGCCTCTGGGAGTTAAGCATTGCTAATCCACTGAGTGATCCATCTGCTTCAGGTTTAATCATGTCAACCAAAAGGCGAACTAGAGTTGCCCTTGTAGAACTATGTGCACAAAGGTTTAACAGAAGCCTCTGTAGAAGTCCTTTCCCCAGGGGCTAACCGACATAAGAACAAAAATCATCAAGTTAGGAGACAACAATCTATATTAAATTAAGTAAGGTGACTATAGTACCTTCATGATGCATATACAAAATAGCATATAGTAAGAATAACAAGCAACCAAAATTTCATGATCGGTAACAAAATTGGCAATTGAGAGTGTTACATGACATAGATTCAGTATACCTCGCATTCTACAAACACAGGAGAATGCCTTCCTACCAACACAGGTAAGTAGGTTCAGCCACGTATAGACATATGGGCTTCAACGCAGAGGTGGACAGGTTAAAACTGAATTATAAGTCCTTGAAACATAAAACCATAGAAACAAAGATCCTAGTGCAATTATAATGACTCATTTAGACAGCCTATGATGTGAATCACGGAGCGCACTACATGTGAATCACGGAGCGCACTACCCTTCCATGAATGTAACCGAATATTACAACGGGCAGAATGCAGATCAAACATTTAAAATTTGGCAGTTAGATTTTCGAGAAAGTTTATAGGTAATGACGGACCTGTGCCAATCTTAAGAGGCGGATCAAAGCCCTCAGTGCATTTGCATCCAGCAAAGGCTCGCCCTCAATTTCCTTAACTCTCATGCCATCTGCAACAGTAGATGTTGCTCTCCGGCCTATAGAAACTCCAACACCTCTATCCATCACAGTCTGCCTGTCGAATCCTAAGCCATTTCTTCGACCACTAAGCCTATGGCTGCTACCAAACAGACTCCGGGCCTGATAGTGACTCATTGCCCTGTCTCTTAGCATTTGGGCTTCAGCAAGCAATGGAGAAGGCAGTGCCGATAATACTGCTTCTGAAGAGGTCAAAAGTACCTAGAGCAGAAAAAAGAATCTGTCAATGTATATCAGCGGGAACCAGATGGAAGAGCTTTCTGAATAGCATACCTCTTCACGTAAATCAGCGGGAAATGTAGCAATTATTGAAGCGTTATCCATGTCCACCGGCTGCCCTTCAGCTTGTTGTGCAATCCTCTGTGCTCTTTGTTGTGCTAGAACTTCCGCCTGAATATCTGGAGGAAGAGCAGCCAAGAACTCGGGATCAATATCATCAACTGAAGGTGGAGCATAAGCTGGAGGAGGCACAGATTGAGCTTGCTGGGAAGCAAGAACTTCTGCCCGCAAATCTTCTGGTAGTGCCTCCAAGAAGGTCGGATCAATAGCACTTGCACCAGAAGCCTCAATATTTACGCTATTCTGATCAGTTTGATTAGCATCTGGAGCAGCTGATGTTGGTTGTTCTGGGACAGGGAGAGATTGCTCAGATAGATTTCCACCAGCATCAACACCATTCATATCAACATCAGCCCCAGTATTATCTACGTCTAGTCTCCCAGAAACAGGACCCAAAGGAACCTGATCATGAGACTGGCCATCTGCCCTTGACACACCATCATGATCCACATTTGGAACAGGAGCAGGAATCTCAAGATGAGATGGTGAGTTTTGACCACCTTCATGTTGCAGAGAAGGACAATGTTGTGCTGATGAGTTGACAAGCTCTGGTGCTGCACCTACTTGATTACCTGTAATGTTATCACCTTCACCTGTCTCCATTTGCTCATCTTGATTAGGTGTACTACTCAGAGAAAATGCTTGATCCGACATACCTTCCTGCACCAGTTGAGGCTCATCTGCATCTTCAACAGAAGCATGCTGAGTGACTTGCTCTTGGCCATGAATGCTTTCAACTGTTTCTTGATCAGACTGATGATCAGTCGCTCCATTTAAAGTTTCTTGTTGATGATGTTCAGATTGCGGACCCCTGGGATTGTTACCTTCCATCACTGCTTGGCCATCATTAGACTGAGGGTCTGTAGAGGGCTGATTCTCCTGCATCTCAAGATTCTGAGACTCCCTTTCGGCAGAGCTACCTGCTGGAGCAACGCTGTGCAACTGGGACAGGAAGTGTTCCTCCACTGCTTGTGCAATTACAGCAGCTTGGGCACCTGCTTGTGGCTGACCATCATCAGTCCAACGTCCATCACCTGGCCCTCTTCGGCCTTGTAGGTGTGAAGAGTCCATTCCAACAGAATAATCAGTCAAAGGTGGAGGGGCTGCACTGCTCAGCCGATCACCATAGAGATTGCTAGGTACATGATCATATGGAAGTACTGGTGCATCAAACATATAAAAGTGAGTGACATCAAAACCACCAGCTGAGAGAGCTTCTAAATCTCTGGACAAATGCCCCCCTGATGACCAAATAGACACAAGATCTCCAGACTGGGATGGTCTCAAGAGCAAAGGATGCTGAAATCCATTGACTTCTGAGACTGATCGTTCAAAAGACCTACCACTCTGTCGCCGTCGTTCGAAGCCTAAAGGCCTACGGAGGCCAAAAAGATCATCCACATTCACTCCATCAAAAGGTTCAGCTGCAACATCAATCAGGCCACTTCCACCACCACCAGGTTGACCAAGCACCTGCAGACGATCTAAGCCATCAAGGGCTTCCCTCCACCTCACCTCTATGACACGGTTCTCATGAAAATCATCATCCTCTTCATCAATCATTTCATCATTGTAATCATCACCTAAGCCAGTCTCATCATGGTCTTCCACATCTGTGTCAGCCAAAGACATCATTCCACCACCATCTTCAGCGATGTCTTCATCCTCATCCTCCCCATCATCATCATCTTGATCATCCTCACCTTCATCAGCCATGTCATCGTCCTCATCGCCAATATCATCATTTGCCCTATTCTCAACACGAAAAGTCATTTCTATTTGATCTCCATTGCGCAAAACTCCCTCTCCTTCCATTGCGCCATTCATAAAATCCATCCCCATCTCCAGAGAACGATTGGTTTCCTCTTCCACTTCGATTCTCATGTCTTGCTCTCCAGACTGATCAACATGTGCATCACCATTACCCTCGATTTCTAAAGTTCCTTGATTGTTCTGTTGCTGTTCTTCGGCCCCTTCCTCACCTTGAACATCCTGGGCATTGCTGGTATTCTGATTACACCCTTCGATCTCAGCAGCTGGCCTAGTTGTCTCAACATCCAGCCTTTCGTTTGAAATTAGAGTTTTCTTCTTGTTCAGACCCTCAGCTTTAAGAATTTGATCATTGGAATTAGCAGCTCTTGTTAGACTTTCCAAAGATTTAAGTAGAAGATTTACAACCTTTGGAGCATCAGGATGATCAAGGTCAATCACTTGAAGAATGCCAGTAAGACAGTGCACAATACCACCATCTATCATGCTTTTTGCTATATCCGGAGAGCATCCATACCCAGGTAAGGTGCTTGAGGAAGCGTTCTTGGACAAAACAGAATAAACCAAATCCGCAAATGCAAAAATTACTTCGTCAGGTAATAAAAGGCTTCTGTTTGAATTGCTTTCCAAGTTTGAGAAGGAAGACATAGCTTTCACAAGCTCATTAATCACTCTCCGTCGCCCCTCACTAGATCGGCCACAAAGAACTACCAGGAACCATGAAGCTTTTTCTGACAACTTGCCTCTCCACTCATCGGGTCCTGCCGATTTATCAGTAGACACTGGAAGCAACCGATGCAAGACATGGTGGATTATTCCACCATGGTCAGGGTTATCCGGCTGGTTGGATGACCGAAGTTGACAAAATTCAGAATCCCTTCTCAGAATGACCCCAACTGCATGCAAGTACATAAGAAGAATATCACTCAACAATTTGAGGACAAATGTCACCTTTGCCAGTGCAGCAGATCTTTCAGATTCCGATTCCACCTTCCGTGTCTCTTCAACCTTGGTCTTTCCCTTCACCTTGCTGGTGGGTTCATCAACTTCCATTGAAATTGATTCACTCCCAACTTCAAAATGGTTTTTCGGTAAAGGGTACTTCAAGACTATGTCAAGAAGCTGATCAATAACTTGAGTTAGATTGGAAGGAATCTTTTTGTGGCCCTTGACACATTTAATTGAACTTTCATGAATCTTAGGTTCAGATATCCGCATAGGTTCTTCAGCACCTGATGCTTTCGATTTCTCTTTTTCCCTGTCTTTTTCCTTTGACAAAACCAGTAAGGTCCGCCCGCCAGAAGACTCCACCTGACAAACTGCAGCTGCGGCTTTCATGAAAACCACGGGATCTCTAGAAATAACAGGAGCCATTGATGTCAAAAATGTCCGTGGTGAAATTCGACCAGCATGCCTGCTCCCACTCAAAGCTTGTCTGATTTCCAACTCCATGGCTGTTTGTAAAGTCTGAGGATCTTCGAGAAGATGACGGACGATTGCAGATGCAACAGTGTCATATCCAGGAAAGAAACAACTTCTTGGCAGACTGAAAATAGCAGCTAAACCTCCATTTTCGAGAAATTGCAGTGACAGAGCATGAGTTTTTGTCAAGCGTGCACATAACTGCAGTACAGCCTGCATGATGACAGCTGGAACATGCTGCTTCATCAGGTCACAAGCAATTAGCAGAACTTTTTGACTCTCTTCAATGGTTAGGTAACCAGTAGATTTTCCCAATATTTTCTCAAATACAGTGGCGGATTCTTTTTCAGAGGCATCTTCTGAATCCATTTTTTTATCAGAAAGTGGGCTGTCTGGCGTAGGTCCTGTCAGGGTACCTTCAATAGTTCCAGAAGGGATTCTAGGCTTTAATTGCAGCATGCAATCCAAGATAAGCAGCAATGCACCAATGCTTTTTGGGGCAAGAATTTCACACCCTCTCAAACTTTTAGACTTGAAATCTGTCAAGATATTAATGATGGTAGATACAATACCATTCTGTGCTGAGATTTTTCTGATAGTTCCATCCTCATGAAGGAGCAATGCTAAGATATGTGATATCATACGCAATGCACTGGAATCTTTTGAAAAATCCGAAGGACAAAGCTTCAACTGCTCACAAAGATAAGATGCCACCTTGGGGCGGTCTTCTCCTTTGTTCCTATTGCAGAGAGTCACTAGCAAATCTGTAACTGAGAATACCATTGCATCATTACTCTGGAACAACTTAACAGATGCAGCAAGGATATCATCGACAGGAGGCGTCTTTATTAACCCTTCTTCTGTCGGCGCATCGACAGACTTCTCAACATTTTCATTTTTCAATCCCTCTGATGAACTCCCAAGTGATAAAGCAAGTGCACGAGCCAGTTCATCCTCCTCCTGCACCGGATCATCAGCATGACTAAACAACCACTCCATAGCCATTTCAACACTATTTGCTTCCACTCGTCTCAACGCTTCCTCGGCTCTTGCCCTTGAGAATCCCATCTCAACAATTGTTGTTATAGTAGCTTCATCAGGAGGTGGAGGTATGAACCTACGATTCGCACTTCCGGCAACTCCACTGTGACTCCTTTTAATGTCACCAACACCAGAGTATATATGTGTTATCAGTGAAATGATGGAAGCAGAGAACGTAGGGCTACAGTTTGGAAACATGGGGTGGTTCCAAACAGGAAGTATTACATCGAGAACCTGGGATTGCAGCATCCGAACAAAAGCTTCAGGGTCCCTAGGAACAGGAAACAGCCCAATAGATAAGCCAACTGCACCTGGTTGAACAAGTAACTGAGCCTGGGATGAAGAGCTTGAGGATAAAAGCAAAGTGGAGTTTACAAAATACTCCAGCACCCGACAATAGTTTTGCAATGTGTCTAGGAGCCACCCACATTGAGACAATTTATTACCCTCTGTAACCTTCTCTTCATCAGGACCTGAAGTTGAGTAAGGGTATGGTGATGTCCACAACAATTCACTGGTGGCCGCAAATGTCGTGAGCAACTCCTTAAATGTTCCATGGACATAAAAATTATTTATCATGATAGTATAACAAGTACGTCGCCTGGTGTCACATGTGAGTGCCGCCATGTCATCCACAATCTTTCCAAGATATCTGCACTTCACTGATACAGCAGTAGAATAACCTGAAAAATTGAGAGCTTCGAGAAACATTGTGGCCAATGAAGAACCAAGAGTCTTAGAAGCTGCACTTAATGAACCCACATCAGATCTCCGACGGTTTGGGGAAGTGAATCCCTTGACAAGGGCTGTAAAGAAAGAGCGCAGTGTGGAAGCCAGCTTGTTCAGAATTTCTGCAACAAGAACATCAGGGCTCTTCTTCTTAACATCCTGGGAAGATGACTCAGTTACATTGGCCAAAACCTCAGAGTCCAAATTTAAAGCATCCAAGTGGCGGCCACTCCTCCCACCCCGTATTCGTGTCAAACCATGTCTACTACGACGATGTAAGCCTTCACCAGAACGAAGAACTGATAGAAACTCACGTTCTCCACCCCAATGGGGCTGAGAACTGCTCCTGATTGAAACTGGGTTCATATATCTGACAGCTGGGTTAGCATCATCATCACTCTCTCTTCCAACAACATTAGATGACGACACATCTCCACTGTCCAATTCAGGCTCTACAATCCTCTTCTCTTCCACTTTGGAATCATTGTGCACAGAAATTTGCCAAATAACTTCCCAGTATGTCCTCCCAAGATCCTTCAGGACTTCAGCATCTGCAGTACCCAGTTCAGAGACCACACTAGCAGTACCTTTCAACAGAAAATTTGACAGAGACAATATACCCTCAAGGCTTGAGAAGTGCTTCAAAATCTTAGTTTGTTTCCCGGAATCAACTACAGAAAGCTCAGTTCCTCTAACTGAATCTAAGAGTTCATTAGTTGACTTCACATGTTCTCTCAAAAATGAGCATACTGCCCTGGCCAAAGATGCAGAATGTTGAGGTGAAAAGTTCTTGAAAGCAATGGAGATAATCTGACCGAGAGATGAAGAGACAGGCATCAAAGGTAAGGTAAATAAACTAAGGACTGCATCTACCCCCTTCTTCTCTACAAAAATACGACATGTATCAGCATTTTGAAGAATCGTTTCAAGAAGACGAGCTGCATTCCCGACACAATCAGGAAGGAATGACTCTATATTCACTACCGAAGCATCAGAAGAAAGATCAGCAGACTGCTGCTCTGAATTTGTAGCTTCTTTGCCATCATCCAGAACGGGACTCGCCTCCTCGGAGTCAGTTTCCATGGGAACAACAACAGAGCAGCTCGGCACATCAGCTGTTGACAAAGAAGCATCTAAAAAAGAGCCAGCTGAGGAAGAACCATCCACCCCAGAACCGATTCGTGCAATGCAACTCAAAATCTCAATTAACATGTCCACTCCAGGTTCGCGCAAAGAAGAAGCATGGCGCATGAGTTCGTCTAATCCACTAGACAAGGACACAGGAGTCTCCCCAGTAAGGGCACGCAGATAAGTACTGGACGTAAAAATCTTGACAAAGCACCTCAAAGCATTGCAGTCTTTAACTGCCTGAAGCCCATTATTGTTCAGGCACAATGCATCCAAGCATTGAGGTATGCATATTATGGCTTCAGCAGAGCATAAAACACCATCCATGATAGCATCCAGAAATGCAGAAGGAAGACCAGCTGCATCCAAGACAGAGAAACAGGTAGGATCCTTATGAATAAGATCACTCATAACCGTTGCTGCAAGTGAAAACACCCCACCGCCAAAGTCCTTAGCTCTCCTAAATATGATGCTCAAGCATTGTGGCAGCAAACTCTCTTCAGATCCATAAATACGAGAAGTATTTCCTGGAGCGTATGTTCCCAGTGATATAGCACGTAACAGTACTTTCATAAGCAAACGCCGGTGATAAGAAACCAATGCCTCAGAGTATAGGGGATGCATACTCTCCAGATCAGATGAAGCACCACCAGCGTCAATTGGCAAACTATTTCCCCTGGAATCAGAATTTTCACCATGTTGCCCCTGACCATTTTCTATATAAGAGACTTCTACCTTCAGCCGAGAAATGGTATCATCTAAACCACCCAACTCTCTGAACAATGCAGCAGCTGGATTACTGTAATCCATGAAAGCTTCTAAAATATGCACAGCTGTCCCAACTAAATGCAAATGCTGAGGATCTGTGTCCTTGAGGAGAGGTAGAAGGGTAGGGATGAAACCTGCCTCACGCATGGCTGAGCACCCAGAGGATGATGAGACCAAAACAGTGACCAGAGATAATAAAGCCTCAGCAAAAACAACAGACCATTTTGATGTTCGATTCATAACAGAATCAATAGCTTTCTGCATGAGGCTGGATAGAATGCCACGGTGACCACCAGATGTGACAGCAGCCAGGACACTAGGCTGCCGGGAGCGATCCTGAGAAAGGGCAACTAAAGCGAGAAGAGAAAGAATCCGAATTTTCTCAGGAACTGCATCTTCATAGCTCAACAAGGAAACTAGTTCATTTACAAACTCTGGCTCGGAGTTGAAAAAAGAAACTAGATCAGCAGCATCACTACTTGCTTGAACAAGAACTATGAAGGCATATAGACGAATGCATGAGTATTGCTGTCGAGAAGTCAAAGATCCAAAAGCCCTCGCAAACCGTAACCGCGTCAATAGAGAAAATCTCAAACGGTGAGGCACTTTATACTCTGCAACTAACTTGTTCAAAAGTTCTAAATCTGTATCTGGGAGAGTGTTGATGTTAGGTAAATGAATGATTTGTAACCCTTCTGTTGATTCTTCTGTCTGCTGAGACTCACTTGGTGACTCCCTCAGTCCATAGAACTCAAAATGGAGGGTGCAGCCTAACTCATATGCTACAGGATCACACCCATTGTCAACAGTACATGCAATCAGACCTAGACCCTCCTCCTTTCCACCCCAGCCCTGTGCCAGAGTGAATAGCTTAGAACTCAAGGAAGCATCTCGAATGGAGTACTTTCCAATGGTTTTCTTAAGGAAAGCAGCCAGAGTCTGCAGACAAGCCTCAACCACATCTGCATCTGTTGAAGCAAGAAGGGCAGAAAGATGCTGCTGCGATAATATAGAAAGGGAGGAAGAGTTAGGAAGATGGTTCTGGGGTGCTTAACACCATAAGCAAAATGAAATTTTTTGATACACTGACTGACAAGCAGACACATAAGGCATTGCCACAGAAAAAAGTACCTCATATGAACTATAAAAGTGCTTATTTGTGCAATTCTCTAAGATTATTCTGATAACGCGGAGGATCTGAAGAACGGCTTCTCGCGGGAAATAGCTATCAGATTCCAGAAAGCTGTCATCAAGCTGCAACTCTTTCCTTGGTTTTATGTGCTTATCGAAGAATGAATCGAAATGGTTAAAAAGGTCAACCCAATGATGAAAATCGCCCTGTATCAAGAAGTTCCATGTGAATAAATGCAAAATGAACAGCCTGCAGAGAAAAACTTCACACCGAAAAAGATACCTTATCAAACTCCCAAGCAAAGCCCTTAAGAGGCTCTTCTATATTCTCCAGAGCAGTAGCAGTCACATTATTGATGAAGGATTTAATTTTTGGAGGCTGTAAAGTTACAAAGGAAAAATCTCAGAGCACATCATCAGAATCTCAAAACAATACACAAGAGAACGACCAAAGAAATGGAAATGACGTGGAAAGCCCATAAAAAGTGCAAAGAAAAGCAGGCATTAAGCAGAAATTTACCTAAGGCTCCTGCAAAACAAAGAAAATTTGTCTACCCAGCTGCTGATCTTAAACTTAGTTTTAGATAGACGCCAAAGGGTATCCAAGTACATGCAAGAAATTCTATAAACTAGTCGTTTCCATATGTTGGTAACTAAAAGAATTTGCCAGAAACTCTTCTATCTGATAAACCACAAAGCGCTTTCTCCCGGACAGCTAGTGGCAAAGTGTCCTTCTAAATTAGTAATGGCATTAAACAAGAGGTACACTATGTTCAACTCATTTCAAGAACCACAAATGCTGATACAGAAGAAAATCCTATTGGTGGAAGGAATCAAAACGTGGGGCAAAAAATTTCCAGGTAATTTGAAACGAGGTGTAAACTCCAACAGAAAAAATGAACACCGAAAGAAGCAAATGGAGAGGGGAACTGAAGATGAAGATATCAATGTATCTGAGGGTGCATATTAACTCAAGATGAAGTGGTAGTGCCTGTTCCCTATGATACCATCAGGTCATACCGCATGAAATTTCATTCCTTAGCTACTCAGACAAGGGAAGCCGCTTAAAATTAGAAAGGAAAAGAAAGATTTGAAAATGCGCTCTAAAGTTAAACGATAAAATGTCGTCATTTGGCTGCCATGGATCATGAGTAGAAACTAGATGTCAGAGCAATGATATGGGTATCATCCTCCGCTCACTTCCACATACACCGCGAGATTAACTCACACACTTCCCAAGGTTGGGAGTTTCTTACCATAATATGCCACCGAAATGGAAAGGAAACTAATGAAGTGAAGATAGGATTAAATCAGTAAAAGCGAAAGTGGAATACCGTGCATCTCCTCGAGTTTGGTAATTGCGTTCAGAATGAGAAACTAGAAGAAAAAAATTCATCGGGAAAAAGAACTTTGGATTTTGCAGTTGGGTTTCACCATCGGCAGTCCTCATAGGGTAAACCAAAAAGAAGTTCCAAAATTGTTGAGGAACCAAGCAGGCACAAGCTCAGCTGAAAACCTAATGGTTTCAAGCAAGCTATCACTCACAACCAAAAATCAAACAGTTCAAATAAGGGTTTATATAATTTCGGTGCATATTTCCGATGATACAGAGGTCCAGTGGAATTGAAGCAGTAAACTTTACACAGAAAACAGCCAAACATCCTGATGAGAACGAAGTTTTACCCATTATAATTGCATAATGATAATCAAAGAAGCAGTAAAAAGGATTCAAGCTCTCTCCATAACAATTGAAACAACAACAACTCAATGGATTAACAGACCACAAGTTATGTTTCCAAAACTCTAACTGCGTGCAGCGTGCCAAATGAGAGAGGGGGGAAGAAAAACAAGTAAAGAATCAAACTTTACACAATCCACAACTCAAAACAACAGCACTAGTAGAGAAACAAACACTGACCACTTCCAAAGACCTCCGCCGCTTGAGCTTCATCTCGGTGAATCAAAGAGCATTGCACACGTGCCCCCCGAGAAACCGCAAGAGAAAACTGCAACCGGGAATCAATCAATTCTCCAGAAACAAGAAGCGATTGAGGGATTGACGAAATATATGTTTCCAACAATCAGTATTCACGATGATCGGATCCCCAATGAGCAGCGAGTCCGCCGATAACGAGGCACAAAACCAATCAGAGCAAGGAATTCGGGAGGTGGAAAGGGGGAATGAAGAAGAGAATATGCGAATTGACGATCGGTAACTAGGGTTTTTGGTGCCGCGATCGCAATTCGGTTGAGGATTCTCGCAAAGGAGAAATAGAACGGAAAGAAGAGAGAGACGGACGGAGAGAGTGGACAAGAGTTCTCTTCTCTAACTAAGAAGCAGAATGCAAAGGCAACACATATATAAAGAGAGCTTCTTGTGAAGCAAGAGGGAGAGATATTAGCGCAGATTTTTACTTGGTACTGAATTTGGAGTCCTAGCCTCCTAGGTGGCTTCCTTTACTTGGTTCGTAATTCTTTTTCCCAAAAAAACACAGCGCAAAAGTAAATGCTGGTTTCGATTATTAATCGAAATGCGATTTTAAGGATTCCATGAGACAGTAGGCTAGCATTGGACTATCGATGGAGTGGCAAGCCTTGTGATCAAGATAGTTTGCTGCAAAATTATCTTCACCATAGCTATAGTTTTTCGGTTAGTCGACTAACAGGCCACCGAATATCATCCTTAGAAGTGGGATCATGAAATTTGTCTCCAGAGTTATTTTGTCAAAATCTAATTTTCTTGGACTAGTTTGAAAATGTGGAAGATCCTATCAAGTCAGCTATAGATAGGAGTCCTCCCCAATAACAACAGCCTATGGTAAGTGATAAACCGAGCCATCAATCTTAGCACTATCAATTATCTTGTTGGAGCATATTATCTATCATATGCTCACTTATGATATTGACTCGTTGGCGGATCAATACAGTGGTCTCATAACTGTTGCAGAAACAATGTTTTATTTTTATTTTTTATTTTAGTAGTCCGGTCATTTGAAATTTGCCATGATCAATGAATCGACCCTTACATGCTAGATAGCGTTGCAACCCTAATCGTATAGTTGAAGTATAAATGATCTTTGAATCTCAATTCTATATCACCCTAGAGCACAATGTATAGGTAATTCACTCTAGTGTGATCTTTTATACTCCTTTTATCCATGTGTATGTTCTAACCTTCTCTCTCCGGTCTAAGATCACATAATCTTCGAAAGTAATAAAAGTTTGAGCATCAAACTATGAAACCACAATGATATATAACATAAATATCATCCACTCACTCAATCTATAAGCCAGCCAATAAATCTCAACCTAACATAATAGGGTTCATCGATCTCTAACAATGCAGTAGTTTAGCTCACAACGGGAGAGAAGTACAAAAAGGAGAAGAATAACACAAAATCAAACTTGAATCCATCTTTTCCTCACTCCTTTGCTCAACCAGATGAGTTATTGGGAGGTTTCTCCTTCTTCAATCTCTTCGAAATCACTCTCTCACTCCTCACATCTTTTTGGGTGTGTTTCCCTCTCTCAATGAATGGTCTACTCCTAAAAATCCGAGTTTCAACTCCGATACCCGTTGACAAGGGGAAAACACAAATTGGAAACATGGTTGTGTTTTTTAGCAACCCATATCGACATAGCACGATTTAGAGACCTTGTTTGTCTTTGTCATGCCAAAAACAAGACCTCTATATAAGGAAAACACGGAAAAAATCCCAAAGTACACTAGTTTTAAAAAAAAAATCCCAAAATACATAAGTTATAAAAAATTTCCAAAAGTACACATGTTTGGGCATCACCGTGTTTGACAAAAGCGGTGAAGTTTATCACCGCGTTTGTCAAAGACGGTGAATACTTCACCGTTTAAGACCAAAACGGTGACGTATTCACCGCATTTATCTAAAACGGTGATGTATTCACCGCGTTTGTTGAGGACGGTGAATACATCACCGTTTATGTTGACAACGGTGATTACCTTCACCGTTTTAGGTTAAAGCGGTGATATATTCCCACGTTTCCCACCCCTGGTAGGTCAAAATTAGGTCACACCTACCTATTATTCACCGTTTGAGACAAACGCGGTGATGTTGTTCACCGTTTTTGACAAACACGGTGAATAATAGGCAGATTTTCCTATAAATACCAACCCACCAGCAGAAGCAAAAACATAACCACTCCCCCCTTCTTCAAATTTCAGCAACAAAAATCGAGCATAATACACAGAACAGACATTTTTCGGTATGTTGAGACTTTTCGTATTATTGTCTAATTATGTTTTTAGTAGTTATAGTATGATTAAATTTTCGTATTATGTTGTTGTTAGTTAGTTGATTTTATGTTCGTTAGTTATAGTATGATTTAATTTTCGTATTATGTTGTTGTTAGTTAGTTGAATTTATTTTCGTTAGTTATGAGATGGACAATATTAGTTGTACAATATGGTTTTGGTTAATTTTACTGTCTTTAAGCTAATATATACTTATCCTCGATTTGTAGATATGGGTAAATTCAAGAAGTTTCATCTTACTATTCGGTGGAATGGAAGGGTGACAAACTCTAACATAGGCATTGATTATGAGGACGGCGAATCCATTATGCTGAACATTGGTTCCCGATTCAATTTTCAAGAACTCTGTGATCTTTGTGCAGAAAGGGTTTGTACGAGCGGACAGACGAGACTTGGCAGAATTACTTACCGGTATCCAGACATGAGTGCTGGCGGGGTCGTGTACCAAGAAGTTGTCATAAACGATGATGACGCGGTTACGATGATGTTACAGTTCCTAAGCGATAACCAAGTCCGGCTTGCAGAGGTGTATGTTGAGACCGAGGCGGTCGGTGAATCTCATTCTCACTAGTATTCTTATGATGATGGTTTTGCAGGAGGGTACGAATGGGGTGTTAGTTCGAGCAACTACCAAGGCGGTGGTTATACAGGAGGTTACGGGGAGGGTGGTGGTTCAATCAACTACGGTGGATCGAGTAGTGCAGGATGGGACAAATACTCGCAACCTCCTAAACCAGCCCCATTTGTTGAGGCCGATGGTGTTCAATGGCCTGCTTGGGGGCCAGAGTGGTATGGAATCGAGAATACCATTCGATCAGGGCGTACTTCACATGAGCGAGAGGACGATGTTGGTGATCGTGGTCATGTTGATCCTTCTAGCCCGAGCTATCCATTCGAGTCGAGCGACGAGGATACTGAGGAAGATTTGAGATCAGTGAGCGAGGAGGAGGAAGATACTGATGATAACGAGGATGAGGCGGCATTTCGTGAGGCACCCACGCCATATTACACACAGGTTCCAACTCAATTTTTACATAGTCAGAATGATCCCCCCGATTATGTCCCTATGCCAGTGTACAATCCGACGGCCAATTTGGAGGTGGGTATGGCGTTCCCATCGAAAGACGCTGTGCAGGATGCGTTTACAGAAGAGGCGTTGAGGCGCAATTTCGAGTGGAAGGTAAAATATTCTGACAGTAAACAACTACATGTCATATGCAAGCATGATGCAGAGGGTTGTACGTGGCAACTGCGGGCTGCAAATATGAAGAGAAAGGGTGCTTGGGTGATTCGCAAAGCTGAGACGATCCACCCACCAAACCGATGAGGTAGATGCGGGCGTAGCGCTCGACTTGTTCTTCCGGTGTCTCGTCATTGATCACAACCTCTTGCTGGATGTGAGACACCAGCCACGGGACCGACACTTGGCCCGCATTCAACGGTGGATGCCCCCGTCCTTGAATTGGAGTGGTGGTCGGCATGTCAAAGCCCAAACGATCACGTATGAGCGGCCCCCAACCTCCTTCGGGTTTGGTCTGGGGACCAATGACGGCATCCCCAGAAATAGGCATCCCGGTGAGGATCGCCACGTCTTTGAGGGTGATCGTCATTTCCCCCTCCGGAAGGTGGAACGTATGGGTTTCGGGACGCCATCGTTCCGCCATTGCCGTAAGCAGATCGTTGTCGATTTCGATCCGCAAGAAATGGCGCAACATTCCCAAACCTGTCCTCGCTATATAGGGCTCCAACCTTGGATGCCAAGCGGGCAAGTTATTGGTCCCTTTATGAACCACGGGAACAAGCGATTCCTAAAAAAAATAGGGAAAACAACAATTTATTAGATTAAATAAAGCAAAATAAAACCTTAGAAAAAAATAAAATAAAGCAAGAATACTCAAAAAATTACCGGATTGTTATCCCAAATAGCACGGGAGCGATGAGCTACTTGATCGGTTAAGAGATTCGCATCCCTTGGGCCATAATGGATATACAATCGAGGATCGTATATCTCGGCACCCATCTATAAAAAAGTAATGAAATCAGAGATTGTTTTGATAAAAATAAAACAAAAAATCATATTATTTCGATTAAAAAAAATTCATAAACAAAAAACCTACACGAAGAGCCTCTTCGTCCATTTTTTGGCGTAGGCCGGACAGAGGTTCGACGAGTTTAGGTTTGAGCGGGACGGGAACTTAGCGGGACGGGGGCTTTAGGGTCAAACTCTAGTAATTCTTTCTGATGTGGAAGATCGGACTTAGCCGCAACCACAGAGCATACTTAGAACGAGACTAGAGCGGATAAATTGAGGGAGAAAGAAGTGAAATGTTTGTGGGGTGAGTTGAAAGTGAAAGGGGAAGGGGGTATTTATAGTTGGGGGAAGGGGGGGAGCAGTCTGCGCAGCAGTTATGAGGGGACCATTCACCGCGTTTGAGGGACGCGGTGAAGGCCTCGCTGTTCCCAAACACGGTTCCCCCGTGTTGACGTGGCTAGCTGTGAGGCGTCGGATCGTGGGAAGAAAACCACGATCCGCGCCTCAACGCATCCAACGGCCACGGTGAAAGCACAGTGGCGCGGATCGCTGACGTAAACAAACACGGGGTATTCACCGTGTTTGTCTAACGCGGTGAATGCCCCGCGTCTGTCCACGTCAGCCTAATCACCGTGGTCAGCTAAAACGGTGAAGTGATCACCGTTTTGCATTAAAACGGTGATTACTTCACCGTCTCTGTTTAAAACGGTGATGCATTCACCGTTTTAGTATAAAACGGTGAATGCATCACCGTTTTGATTTAAAACGGTGAAATTATCACCGTGTTTGTTTAACGCGGTGATAATCTTCACCGCTTATGTCAAACACGGTGATGCCCAAACATGTGTAGTTTTGGAATTTTTTTTATAACTTATGTATTTTGGGAATTTTTTTTAATAACGTGTGTACTTTGGGATTTTTTCCAGGAAAACACGATCATGTTTTTACTTTTTTTATGATTAGGTTGTGTTTTATGGGCTTGCCTTCTTTTCATGCCTCAAACAATCTCATATATAACTCGCTTCAAACGAGCATCGATATGATAGGGCATGAATTATGCGAATAGAACACAACTAGGACTGGAAATGAGTTGAATTGTTCACATACGGTTCGACGTTTCGAGCGGGAAAAACACGGGTTTGAACTTTGACTTATTTACCAATGAGCTGAGTATGAATTAAGCCTTGTTTTGCGAGCCTTACTTGTTAAGCTCAACTCGTGAACTTACTTGTTTTGAGCTCATGGGATGTCTCAACGTTGTAGCTAGCGAAACAACTCAATTACCAACTTATGCGCGGTCGATCTATTACATTATGAGTTAACTTGTTGATAATTTATATATTTAAAATATTATACATCGCACCCCACATAATGTTCAAAACTCTGAGCATCTAACCAAGTTATGTAGCATTTAAAAAATAATTACTATGAAATAATATTATATGAATAAGTTAAAAGTTATAAACTAAATAATATGATATCAACAATACGTAAACAAGAGATCTGTTAAAGATGAAAAAAATTATTTTCTCATAGTGATATAAATCACATACATTATACATGACATACAAATATAAAAAAAATCATCTATAAACTATTTTAGAGTTTAATTTAAGAGTTTATTTAGAATAAATGAGTTGAGCTCGAACCCATGATCTTATTGATGAGCCATGATCTTATTGATGAGCCAAACTCGAATAAAGCTCGTAAACTCATTAATGAGCTATACTCAAATAGAGTTCGAGACAAACACGAATCACAAGATTTAGTAAACGAGTCACCCTCAAACTCGATTCGTCTGAATTTTGCAGTTCTAAACACAATCTAGCTTGAAAAATACCAACGGAGAGGAAGATTGCGAGCTAAATGACAAAAAAAAGGGGTCCAAGTTAAGAGGGTTAAAAGATATACAAATACAAGTGCATATTTTGTTTACCCAAGATCACTGGCCACCAAGACTAAACAACTAGTTCAGCATCAAAATAGGGTATTGCTTGTAAATTCACAAATACAAAATTAGTGTTTTGTGTTTATTAGCGATAGTCTTGTGATTTGTTCATTTGTACTTCTTCCAAATTTGGAACTGGAAACAAGCAGGGAAGATGAAGCAATATTTTTCCATTTGATCAGAGGGGAAAAAAAACCCTTGTGAAGTTGTCACTTGTCAGTTCCTCTATTCTATTGTCGGAATAAATAAAGGCAAACGACGTCGTAGAGATGGTATACTCTGTGTGTTGGAATAATATAATTTCGATAGAGAAGATTGAGAGCAATCAAAGGTAGTTTGCATTATGATTCTCTGTTCTCTTTATACACGTTTACAAGTGAAGAAGGGAAAGTGGTTCAAGTTTTAAGGAGAGGTGGAGAAGTGGTTATACAGTAGTGGAGAATAAAAAAATAGAAAAAGACTTTTATTCTTTTTCTCTAATACGCCCCCGCAAGATGGAGGTCGTGTCAACGACTCCAATCTTGGACCGAAGAAGAAGAAAGCGAGACGCAGCCAGCGGTTTAGTGAGCACATCAGCGAGCTGCTGAGCAGTGGGAATGTAGCGAACAATGAGACGACCATCCTGAACCAGTTGGCGAACAAAGTGATAATCGAGTGCCAAATGCTTCATCCTGGAATGAAACACAGGATTAGAACTAAAACTGGTCGCCCCAAGATTATCAGAGAACAGTGTGGGCGAAGCAGCCAAGGGTTGACATAGCTCGGTCAACAGATTTTGCACCCACTCCAATTCAGCAACAGCATGGGCGATAGCCCGATATTCAGCTTCAGTACTAGAGCGAGCAACTGTGCATTGTTTCTGAGACCGCCAAGATATGAGGGTGGAGCCCAAGTAGAGAAGATATGCAGATGTGGAGGTGCGATCATCCAAATTCCCGGCCCAGTCAGAGTCAGCAAAGGAAGTAAGTCATAATGGAGCTGTGGTGCGATGGATTGCAAGGCCATAGGAGATAGTGCCACAGACATAGCGTAGAAGACGCTTTAGACACTGCCAATGATAAGTGCTGGGGGAGTGCATGTACTGAGACAGTTTGTTCACTGAGAAAGCAATATCAGGCCGAGTGTATACAAGATATTGCAGCGCCCCTAACACCTGATGATAGCGAGTGGCGTCAGTGAGAGAGGAGCCATCATGAAGAGACAAAGTGGCAGAGGAAGCCAGTGGAGTAGAAACTGGGGCGGCGTCAAGCATGTGAAACCGGGTGAGGATGTCAACCATATACTTATGTTGAGATAAAACATAGCCCGAGACAGTCGGAATAACCTCGATTCCCAAGAAGTAATCGACATCCCCTAGTTCTTTGAGGGAAAACCGGCGGGCTAGAGCATGCTGAAATGTGGAAAGAGCCGCGGAATTGTTACCTGTGAGCAGAAGATCATCCACATACACCAGGAAGTAGAGAAGAACACCAGAGCGATGATAGACAAATAATGAAGCATCAGACTGGGTCTTCTGAAATCCAAACTCAATCAGAAAGGAGCTGAGAGCAGTGTACCAAGCACGCGGAGCCTGACGAAGGCCGTAGATTGCTTTGCGAAGGCGACACACATGTGTAGGACGCTGAGGGTCCACAAACCCGGGGGGTTGAGCCATATATACTTCTTCAGTAAGAGGGCCTTGAAGAAAAGCATTATTAACATCAAACTGCTTGATTGGCCAACCCTGAGATAATGCAATGGTGAACACAGTGCGAACAGTCACTGGTTTGACGACAGGACTGAATGTATCCTGAAAATCAACACCAGGACGCTGATGAAAGCCTTTGGCCACAAGACGAGTCTTATAGAGATTAATAGAACCGTCAGTGTGATGCTTGATGCGATATACCCAGCGGTTGCCCAGGACATTATAATGTGGCTGTCGTGGGACGAGATCCCACGTATGATTCTTAAGCAAGGCAGCATGTTCCTTGTGCAGCGCATCATCCCACTCTGAAAAGCTCATAGCCTCTTGCACGGAACGAGGCTCAAGGGGAACCGGTGTGGACACAGTGGTGTTGAGGGCTGGAAACAGCCTTTTGGGCCGATAAATTCCAGCCTGGGCCCTTGTTTGCATTCTGTGCGGGCGGTGGACAGTAGGAGGCGCGGTGGGCACAGTCGTGGTGGGCCGGGGCGAGGAGTGCTCAAGCCCAGAGGGAGCAGGCCCAGCAAGCCCAGGCGCGGAAGGAAGAGGGGGTAGGGAGGCTGCTGTGGTCGCCAGCCCAGCAGGCCCAGCCGAGGTAGCGGAGATGGGCCGAGGCCCAGCGAGCGCTGAGGAGGAGTCCAGCCCGGGTGCGGATTGTTTAGCAGTGGAAGGATCTGCGCAACCAGGCCCAGGAGCCGAGGAAGAGGCAACTGGAGATGCAGGAGGAGCAGGCCCATGGAGAGGGATGTGAATAATGTTCGGGCCCATATCAAGTAACCATGAGTCCGCTGTGGGTGGATCTGCACATTGGTTAGTCGAAAAACCGGGGAAGGAAGTCTCAACAAAATGGACATGCCGGGAAATGAAAATACGACTAGTGGTAGGGTCAAAGCATCTATAGGCACTACGTTGAGGGCAATAACCGATAAAAATGCAAGGACGAGACCGGGGATCCAATTTATGAGCAGAGTAGGGACGTAGCCAAGGGTAACAGAGACAACCAAACACTCGCAATTTATGATAATTAGGGGCAAGGTTGAACAAAGCTGTGTAAGGAATTTGACCACGTAAAGCAGATGACGGGAGACGATTAATCAAATAGGTAGCAGTGGAAAAGGCAAAGGACCAAAACAGGGCAGGAAGGTTAGCATGATGAAGGAGAGTGATACCCGTTTCAACAAGATGACGATGCTTACGCTCGGCCAGACCATTATGCTCAGGGGTATGGGGTGGAGTAAGAAGATGAGTGATGCCATGAAGGGAAAGAGTAGAGCATAATTTTTGAAACTTGCCACAACCATCAGAATACAAACGACGAATGGTGGTGGAAAAATAATTTTCCACCATTGTGCGAAAAGCAAGAAACACAGAGAGCACATCAGATTTATTTTTCAAGGGATAATACCAAGTATAACGGGAAAAATGATCAATGATGATTAAGTAATAACGAAAACCATCAAAAGAGGAAACCGGAGCCGGCCCCCAAACATCCGTATACAATAAATCAAATGGCCTAGTGCTTTGCAAAGAAGACATGGCAAAGGGAAGTTTGTGACTTTTATTGGAAAGACAGGAATTGCAATGACTACTGACGAGGGAGGACGATACTGGCAGGGACTGGGAACGAAGAAGACTGTTGAGAGACTGAGTAGATGGATGACCAAGACGAGCATGCCAGGAGGCGGAGGTTGTGCGAGTGGCAACAAGAGCGAGACGAACATTATCCACATCACTAGGCAGCTCATAAACATCTCCATTATTTGCCCCTTTCAGCAGTGGCGCCCCCGTGCGAAGATCCTTCACAACAAAACAATCAGCAAAGAATTCCACCGAAATGGGATTAGTGCGACAAAGTTTGGCAACAGAAATAAGTCTACGCTTGATGGCAGGGGCACATAAAACATCTTGCAAATGAAAGGAAGACGTGGAAGAACGCAAATTAGTAGACCCAATATGTGTGATTTGCAAACCTGAGCCATCGCCAACAAGAATCTCATCCGGGCTATTGTAATCAGAATAGAGAGAGAGATTGCCCAAATCAGAAGTCACATGGTGACTAGCAGCAGAGTCCATTAACCATGGGCTTGAGGAAGAGGGGCTGCCTGTGGAGCCCATATGGGTGACGTGGGCCTGAGCCTGGCGGGCTTGGAAGGCCTGGCGGGCCTGAGGGAACAGTTTAAAGCACTGATGGACTGAGTGGCCCTGCCTCTCACAGTATTGGCAAATGATGGGCTGCCTGCTGTGGGGAGAGGGATCAGTTGATGATGATGGGCCATTATAAGCAGGAGATTGGGCCCTGTGATAGTCGACCCGTGAAGAGCCTGCTGCACGCGGGGATGAGGCCCGAGCTTGGAGACTGAAGGAGCGGGGAGAGGAAAACCCTCTCTGGCCACGAGAAGAAAACGCAGCGCCGCCGCCCTGCCTCTGCTGCTGGTGAGAAAAAAACGCCGTGGGTACAGCGCGGCGCACCTGCGCCTTAAGGTCGGACTCGTATTCAACGAGTGAATCGACGAGATCTTCCAAGGTGAGACTGGGACCTCGAGCACGAACAGCAGCAGAAAAGGCAGCATATTCGTCGCCCAAGCCACGAAGACAGAGCACCACCAAATCCATATCAGAGACCGGCGCATTCACAACCGCAAGTTCGGCGGAAATACTTTTCAGATCATTAACAAAGGTCAAAACGTCATTATCGCCCTTGACTGTCTTGGCCAATTTGGTTTTCAGATGAATAACACGAGATTGAGCACTGCTTGCATAGAGTTTTTCAAGGATGAGCCACGCTTCGCGGGAGGTCGATGCCGCAGAGACAAATGAGTAAATAGATTCAGAGATTGAACAGCGGAGGGCATGTAGAATAAGCTTATCTTGACGAAACCAATATTGATAAGCTGGATTGGTTTGTGTAGCAGCCTCAACCGTGATCGTAGGAGAAGGGGCAATGGTGGAGCCGTCAATAAAGCCGAACAGATCAAGCCCCATAAGCAGCGTCTCAAGCTGAGATCTCTAGGACGCAAAATTAGTGGGAGTGAGCTTCAGAGGAAGCTGAGCCGCAGGATTGAACGTGACGATGACTGGAATATCAACAGAGGTAGCAGAGTCATGGGTAGTGGAAGCGCCAGACATATTGGTGACGAACAGAGAGAACAGAGAGTGCCGATGAATGAAGGCAGAAAAGAAAAATCAAGGAGACAAAATTGGATCGATACTAGCTGATCATTGCTAGCTCTGATACCATGTTGGAATAATATAATTTCGATAGAGAAGATTGAGAGCAATCAAAGGTAGTTTGCATTATGATTCTCTGTTCTCTTTATACACGTTTACAAGGAAAGAAGGGAAAGTGGTTCAGAGTTTTAAGGAGAGGTGGAGAAGTGGTTATACAGTAGTGGAGAATAAAAAAATAGAAAAAGACTTTTATTCTTTTTCTCTAATACTGTGGACTCGTCTTCCTCCTGTAAACCCTGCTGAAACCCATTTGCCCACAGACGGAGCGCAGGAAAAGAATAATGGTCAGGAGCAGGAGGAGAAGATGAGCAAGAAGCAATGGCTCCCTCGCCTGTCACGTGCCCTTTCGCGCGCTTACTCTTCCTCGTCTGCTTCTTCTTCGTCACCATCGTCGACATCGTTCCCTCTCAAGCATGTGACGAAGTCCAACTTCGAATCCGCGCTCGCCGAGCTCAGAGCCCATGTACGCGCCGCCGATTTCGTCGCCATCGATTTGGAGATGACCGGCGTCATCAGTGCCCCCTGGAGGGAGTCCTTCGAGTTCGACCGATTCGATGTTAGGTATCTCAAGGTCAAGGATTCCGTCGAGAAGTTTGCTGTTGTTCAGTTCGGCGTTTGCCCTTTCCGTTGGGACTCTCAACGACAATCCTTCATAGCTCACCCGTAAGCAACGTCTCTCTTCCCTTTCCCCACCTGCTTTCCTCTTTACTTTCTCGAAACTGAGCCCTCTCCCGGGGTCCTTCCCTCTGAGAGAGCTTTAGATGTGTTATATAAAAGAGTTCTGCTTATATGGTTGATTGATCGAGACCGTTGTTTGTTAACTTTTTCTGGGAATTGCTAAGCTGATATCCAGATAGAAATGTGGGAAAACTTGACTTTGATGGGTTTTCCTTCTGCATTTGCTTGTGCCACAAATTTGAAATTGGAGAGGTTCATGTAGGTTGGTTTATGACTCTGCTTGGCATGAATTGTTTCTGGCAGGCATAATTTCTTTGTTTTCCCACGCGAAGAGCTTCTCTCCAGTGGCCCTTCTCCTGAGTTCCTCTGCCAGACATCATCCTTGGATTTCTTGGCCAAGTATCAGTTCGATTTCAATACATGTATTCGTGAAGGTACAATTGCTTTACTTTCTGTATAGCACAACAGAACTAGCTAGGGCTCCTTTAGTGCTCGTTCTAGGATGTTTTATGTGTTGTTATTTACCACTCTTTGTTAATTCAGGGATATCTTATTTGTCCAGAGGAGAGGAAGATGAAGCATTGCGTCGCTTGACTCTCCATTGCAAGAGGTTATCAGACTTGTCGAAGGAATCTGAAGATGGGGAAGGCACGACATTGCTTAATATTACTGATGTTCTCTTCTCCAAACGAATGAAGGACAAATTGAGCGAGTGGCGTTCTGGGTTGTTGCATTCCACTAGAAATGCTACTTCCCAGTGCCACGACATGTCAAAAGGTTCAAAGCAACAATTTCAGACTGTTTTCTTTAAGATGCGCCCGGCTGTCTCTCTGAATGGTTTCACCTCTCATCAACTTAATTTGATCAGGATGGTAATCCTTCTTTACCAGACTTAATTTCAATTATCTTATGCTACTAAACAACTTCGAATCAGTTCTGATATTAGGTGTCATATCAACTTTCTATGTTAGAAAGATTTGATATTTGTGCTTGATACCTACTAATAAAAGTTATGGTGGAATCTGGATCCTTCTAATATTCATAGACTCGTAATCCTTGTTTGTGTAATTGGATTCAATAGGTTTGCTTCTGTTTCATGCTTGAGGGGTAAAGACTTCCTTTGCATAACTAAACATGAAAATCAATTACCTGCAGGTCTCCAAGAAATATTTCAAAGATCTTGTATTCATTCGTGCCAGTGGTGAAAACTCTTGTTCAGGAACAACTCGTCGTGTATACAGACACAGAGAGTGATAAGGCTTTATTACTGGTAACTTTTATGTTCATGAACTGGTCATTTAAACATGCTTGATCAAAGGGTTTTGTTATCTAGAGTGTTTGGAGATGCTGCTCTTTTCTTCCAAATGGGAAATGGGAAGATGTGAAATATTATAGATTTGCCAGTTAGTAATGTGCTATGTCTTATGCATGATGCATTATCATCCTTAAGTACTGAAATTTCACAAGTCCCAAATGAAAAAAAGAAAAAGGAACATATGGGAAAGTAACATGAATACGATTCAGAAAACATGTTTGAGAGATAAAAGCACTTCATTGGTTTTATATATCATGCAGACAGAGGTCAAGAACGAATCTCATAGAGATGCAGAGAAAAAGATCAAAGCTGCAATTGGGTTTCGCCATGTTATAGACCTTCTTTCTTCTGAGAAAAAGTTGATTGTTGGTCATAATTGCTTCTTGGGTAAGTATTATTTTTTTTTCTTCTCTAAGACAGACTCTTCTGGTCTTATATTCTGCTGAGATTCATTATCTTGTGTGATGCAGATATTGCCCATGTATACAGTAAGTTCTTGGGTCCTCTCCCTTGCACAGCTGAAGAGTTTGCTTCCTCATTGAACAAGCATTTCCCTTACATTGTTGACACCAAAATTCTCTTGAATTCAAGCGATGTACTGCAAAGAAGGATGAAGAAAGCAAGCACATCGCTGTCCTCGGCCTATCTTTTACTTTGTCAACCGATCACTTTGGGCGCCGATAAAGGACCTGACTCGAGTTGTTGCCCCAAGCGTGAAGGTGGAGGTGGAAATGGATGATACAAGGTGAACTCCCTGATTTCTGAGTTCTATGCAGTTGTTTGCTCATATTTCCTTGAATGCCATATATTGAATCTAACACTGCCAGGTTTAAGCTATTGTCTTCTGCATAAACTGTTGTTGATGCATCTTTCGGGGAAGCACTTGTGTTGATGCATGTTTTTTATAATTTCACTTAGGTCCACAGACTGGAATTCAGGAGCCAAACATGAAGCAGGATTTGATGCTTTCATGACCGGTTGCATCTTTGCACAGGCATGCCATCATCTCGGTGTTAACTTCAACCAACATTCACCATCTCCACTGAACTTGGCTCTCAACGAGAACCTCCAGAAGCACATCAATCGCCTCTACTTGAGCTGGTTCAATTGGAACATCATCGATTTAATCACCGGAAAGCAGGTAGATGCTGTTGTATCTAATAGCAGTCTGAGCAAGCGATTCTCCAAAATTGTGTTTGAGAATGTTGTTCTAATCTGGAGGTTCCCTTCCAAGCTCAAGGCAAGGGAGATCAAGGAGTGCCTATGCAAAGTCTTTGGTCCAACCTCGGTTGCCTCTGTCTTTCGAGTGGATGAAAGTGCAGTTCTGGTTCATTTCAGCAAGCCAGAGTTTGTTTCAGATTTTCTGCTTCTGAAAGAAACCTTGGATGGGAGCAATGATGTGATATCAGCTGTGCACCCTCTGTCGGGGATTCTGGAACGTGGGAAGACGTGTGCTGCTAATTATGAGGCATATAAAGAGATATGCAGGTCGCCGGTCTCCATGGCTCTGCTTGCAGATTCAGCAGATGATGTTTTTGGGCTGGGACGGAGGAGGAAGACGGCGGTTTTGGTGGGCGAGGGAGAGAGTTGGAATGAAGGAAGAACAAGTGTTGGTGAAGAAGTATACAAGTCGAGTAGTAGTTGTTCATCACGTGACGTTGTTGAGGTGGAGGAGATGAGAGCTACTCATATGTGAATGTGATCCTTCCTTCACCGTAGAAACCATTTGGGGAAGGATTTTGTATGTAGAAGAACAATTGGAATGGAATGTTGTGCATAGCAACATTATTCCTTGTGTAAGGAGAGGATTTAGGATGTAGCACTGGTTGATTGATAGCATAAACAGAAAAAGGGGGGAAAAGATCTGGTCGAATCTGCGGTGTCGTAGAAATACTTGATAGGAACCTACAGACTGCCTTGAACACAATGTATGAAGTTGCACAACCGATCCACTGATGTAAGGAGAGCATGGAGACGGAGCATAGATACAAACCGCCCTTAATGCCTTTCTCATTTCGCTGTAGGATTACCGGATTGGAAAAGTACTGGAATTGAACAGAGATCATGTTTCCTCTTCACATTAGCACCACCAAAAGATTCAGCGATGTATGAGTTTTACAATCCCGTTCCATCACCAAACTTCCAGTCAAAGTGGTATGGTAGATTAGCTGGAGGAAGTTCGACATTGGCGATCCCAAATGCTATTTCGGGACATATTCTTCTTCCAGAATTCATTCCTTGGCAATCATCCGAAGACTCCAAGAATCTCTGATGAACCGTCCAGTACCACCTCGATCTCTAGTAAAAATTGTAATAAATCCGGCCGGCCAGGTACATCACCATACATATATACATTAGATGATAAGATCTTAAGAAAATCCTCAAGTGAGGCTTGAACAAGTCAACACAGCAGGGCCCCGCGTAAAAGTAAACAGTGACATTTGAATTGTCTGCCAGAAGTCTTCCACACCACAGCAATTCCAACATTAATGGAATACAGCTATTCCTATGTCCTACAAGCGTGTTGACGAATTGATCAGCGACCAGGCAGTCAACGGCACGAGCTAAGATAGCAAAGGCCAGAGGCAGATTTCCCAAACCAGTTTCCTCCATCCGAACAGCACTACCAATTCAGTTTTGCCATGGCTGAAATCGTCTTCCAAGTCCTAATCCAACTGGGTTCCATCCTCGTTGAAGATCTGAAACAACATGGGAAGCTCGTCCGCGACGTGGAAGGGCACGTCAACAAGCTCACATCTACTTTCAAGGCCATTGGATCCCTTCTCTTGGATGCCGAAGAGAGAGAGCTGACGGACAAGGGGGTCGAAGACTGGCTGAGGAAACTCAAGGACGTCGCCTACGAGGTCGATGACGTGTTGGACGAGTGGCGAACCGAGATCCTCAAGCGCCAGATTGCTGGAGATCATCATGGTGAGCATCTCGGGAGAATCTCGGGTCTTCTTAAACGAGTTTGTTCTTTTCTTCCTGCTTGCTGTCGTTTGTCCACCAGTGAGATGGGTATGCGATACGGTATTGGTGTCAAGATAAAGGAACTGAATGGAAGGCTAGATTGTTAGTATTGTGGTATATGATCCACGATTGAATCTCTCCCAACAACTCGAGTTATTGGGACCAACTGGTTCTTGACATGGTATCAGAGCCTTCTGCGACCGAGAGGTCTTGTGTTCGATCCCCGGTGACCCCATTTGTTAAGCACATGGTATTCTTGTCTTCAGACCTGTGCAAACTTCAAGCCCTTATGAGTGGCTTTCGTTTGAGGGGGCGTGTTAGTATTGTGGTATATGATCCACGATTGAATCTCTCTCAACAACTCGAGTTATTGGGACCAACTGGTTCTTGACATAGATGATATAGCTACTGAGAAAGATAGGTACAATTTTGCTCCTAGGGAGGCTATATCTCGAAGTCTGCAGACCAGCCCCAATATCAATTTCTCTGATGTGAAAGGCAGAGAAGAGGAGACAAATGGCTTGAGGCGCAAGTTACTGGATGACGGCAATCCATGTCTCCGAAGTCTCGCTATCCAAGGCGCCGGCGGACTTGGCAAAACAACACTGGCCAAACTTCTCTACAACGACCGACAGTTGGAAGCTCATTTTGACAAGAGAATTTGGGTTTGTGTGTCTGACACTTTTGACCAAATCACGATCCACAGAACAATTTTGGAATCTATTACAGGTTCTACTCAAAAGAGTAATATCTTGTCAAACATGCTAGAGAAAATACGCGAAAGCATTGAGGGCAACAAGTTTCTTTTAATTCTTGATGATGTGTGGGAAGATAGCCGAAGCAAGTGGGAAGAATTAAGAAACTCTATTTCCAGCGGCTTATCAGGGAGCAAAATCCTGATAACTACGCGGAAGAATGAAGTTTCTCATGCACTAGGTTGCATCGATGTCGATGTTATACATATAGAAAAGATGCCTACGGATGTATGCAAGGCGATCTTCACTCAAATTTCATTCTACGGGTGGACTTTGGAGGATCAAGAAGAGGTAGAAGACATCATTGAAGGAGTTGTGGAGAAATGTCATGGCTCCCCATTGGCCGCTAAAGTGTTGGGGGGGATTCTACAGTCCAAAAAAGCTAGAAAAGAATGGAGTCGGTTTCTAAAGAGTGAATTGTGGCAGCTGGAGGAAGCTAGACATGATGTGTTTGGTCCTCTGGCATTGAGCTACTATGATTTACCTCCGGCCATCAGACAATGCTTTCAGTTTTGCTCTGTGTTTCCTAAAGATTTTGAAATAGAGAAGGATGAATTGATTAAGCTATGGATGTCACAGGGTTTTCTTAGAGCAACACAGAATCAAGACATAGAGGGGATTGGTGAACACTATTTTCAGATTTTGGGGATGCGCTCTTTCTTCCAAGATTTTGAGAAGAGAGATGTATGGGTTGGAGAAAAAACATATTGCAAGATGCACGATTTAGTGCATGACTTCGCTCGTCTTATAAGTGGGAACGAGACCATCTGCATGACAAATAGACAAGTGGAGAATCATGCACCCTCTACCAATCACTTGCGCAGCTTCATAGCATCAAGTGTGGATGCATCTAAACCTGATGTATTCGATCATTTGCGGGGCATTCGGTTGCTAGTTCTCAAAGACGTTCATCTCAAAGCAGTCTCATCAACTATAAACCAGTTGATTCATCTCAGGCATTTGGATTTATCCTACAACGATATCTTGATTGAGCTGCCAGAAGAGATATGTGAGTTGTACAATTTAGAAACTCTTCTCCTCAACTTAAATAGGAGGTTGAAGAAACTACCTAGTGGGATGGGGAACAAGTTAGTGAACCTGAAGCATCTGGAGAACGATGAAGTTCCTGCATGCCTCCAGAAACAAATGGGGAGATTAGCTGCCTCTCTGAAGACACTAACCCTATTCAACATCATACACGAGGATGAAAGAGGTAGTACTAATGTTGGGACTTTGGAGGGGATGAACCAACTTCAGGGATCCCTTTATGTGAAGGGACTAAATAAGGTCACAGATTGTGGTGAAGTGAAGCGAGCATAGTTCGCCCGAAAAGAATCTCTTGCTCATCTATGGCTTGATTTTGCATCGAGCATGATGGAACAAGTAGCTGCGAGTCACAGGGAAGAATAAGTGTTGGAAGCTGTAAGGCCGTCATCGACGAGTTTGGAACGACTAGATGTAATATACTACAGTGGTGTGGCCATATATCCTAGCTGGTTGATCTCACTCTCCAACTTAACATCCCTCAGCTTCATCGGTTGCGCTCGAGTGGTACGTCTGCCACCTCTAGGTGGCCTGCCCTCCCTCCAACAGCTTTACTTGACCAGAATGTTTGATGTGAATAAAGTGGGTGCAGAGTTCTTGGGAACGAGTGATATTAACAACAATGTTGCATTCCCTACACTTAGACTGCTCCATTTTGAGCACCTGAGGAACTGGGAAGAGTGAGAGTTAGCAGAAGAGATGAGTTTGATGACAGTCGTCATGCCCTCGCTGCGTTGCTTGGAGGTGTTCAACTGTAGTAAGCTACAGAAGTTGCCGGATCTGCTTCTCCAGAAAATGACCCTGGAAACGCTGGAAATATATTAGAGCGGCTCTTTGGTATCACAACCTCCCCGGACATTCTCTGTTGAACAACTCAGGTTCTTGGGACTAAAGTTACAAGCTTTTTGTATTAAGAACAGAGAAGTATGGCATTATATGGTGAGAACAAGTTTGACTTTTGTGTGCTCTGATTTCAATCGTTCTAGTAGCTAGTCTTAAAAAAATAATAAATTGCTTTAAGATTAGCGCTTTCCGTCATGTAAATTTTGGACTTCAACATCTAATTCTGAGAATTTTGTATTTTATTTTGTAAAAGCGCGATGGTGATTGATTTTTCCTCCAATCAAATCTTCAACCCTATTTTTTGGATGTATTTTGTTTCTTTTTTTTATTAAATGGGATGCATATTTTTGTAAGTGGATGCAGTTTTCATTTTCCTAATTCAAATTTAGAAAATCCTTTTCTTTTGGATAATGATATATTAGTATCTAAATATCTAAAAATACATAATCCATTTCAACTGCATAAAAGGTCATATTTTTTATAAGAATTTAAATTAATTTCCTGAAATTATAAATTCTTTATTTTCTTATGAGCAAGCAAGTTTTTCATCCATCGATACAATCTGTTTACAAACTGAACAAGCCTAAACCAAACAGAACACAACCACACATCTATAATCTGTCTCATATACTTGACATATTGTCTACTTCTACCGCAAGTATACAATTGCCTAGAATCATACATTCAAGGATCCCCTGCATTTTTTAGAGTCAGCTCTGTTGTGGGAATTGTTCACGTATACTATTTTCTTGCAACAAGCAAACACATAAGATTAAGAAAAACATGGAAGACCCATGCAAGCGTCCTAGCCGATAGAATTCACTATCTCTCCTTAAAGAATCCTATTCCCTTATAGTACCCAAGGTTATGAAATGATTCCTCCAGGATAGAAAGGACGTACCTTTCCGGCGTAGCAGTACCTCAAACCCCGGAACCCATCGAACGCAGCGAACCGGAGAGAACCACACTTGACTCTATTTTCTCTTTGAAAAGAATGCAGAAAACTAGTTTTGGATTTTAGCAAAGTTTTGGTATATAAAAATCCATCTATATCTCGCCCTTAAAACTAGAGGGGGTATGGTGCTATTTATAGAAAATGAAGGGGTGCATTGAAGGGAGGAAACTCTTCATATGGGTGGTTACACCCCAACAAACGCATTGGTTCGTTTTAAAATAATGAACCATTGCATCGGTTCGGTCCATGGTAGTTGGCCTGGTTTGGTTATTCCAACCGCCTCATCGGATCGGTTCGATTTGGTTCAATTCGGTTTGGTTCATTTGGTTACAAAAACCAATTTAAACTCATATTACATCAAATCGAACGAATTCGAGGCCGTGCCTTCCCACACCTTACCAACATGGTACTTCAAGAGACTCTCTTGGAACTTTCCCCTTTCATTTCCATTCACACCACTAAAAATCCCAACAATTCCCCACATGAATGGAGAATGTTGTACTTTAAAAACTATGCAAAAAATCGTGTGATTCTCGAATAAGAATTAGTTGCATCGGAATAGGTAGGTTTCCCTTTGAAACTTCCTTAGTGAACATATATCGAGTATACTCACCAATCGGTAGATGTGATATCTTTTAACCGTCGGTTTTGCTTGTATACTAAGACAACATATGTCACACAACTAACTCTTATCCATTCACTGGTTCTCATTGTTGTGTTCGTTTTAACCATGAACACCGCCTGGTCTCATGAGTTCTTAGAGAACTGGCCTTCTTTTATTCTCCTTGAAGCGGCTCCACTTCACACTCACATAGGTGATTTCTAAACGTGTATTCCAAAATACACTATTTGATCACACCATGTGTCAAACTTAGAAACCATTAAAAACCTTCCATCTTTAGGTTTACCCTTATAGTTGGACATTGTCTCATCATGAGAATGGACTTTGAATAATTTGACAATGTCGGACCATCATTCACAACTTTGTTTTTTCCTTGAACCTAGAGGTTGGGTCTACCAATCCTACTTAGGTAGAGTTACCGCCATGATGATTTGTCCTAGGCCACGAGTCCATTCTCTTTGATGCTTAAATTAATTTATAGATGGGCCCCACGTTTGTTATCACTTGATCTAAACTGATCATCTCCGATAACTTCGCTAGAAATTAACCAATCAATAATGTTATGTTTCTACGACGAGATTTTCATATAACACTTCTAGCCCTTGCAATAACCATTTTGTGCACAAATGCATTTTTATTAACGCCAGTCTTTGCGGGCCAAACTACTCAACTTCACCGGTCTTAGAGTTTAACTTGGACGTTTTCCAAGATACTGCTCCTCGTTAACCATAAATGCCTATCCATTAATGGACTATGGCTTTTGGTTCGCCAGTGAGTTCCTTTGGGTAAAATTCACCAAAGACTCGTCTCTTTTGATTCACTACACATCATGTGTGTTTGCCTTGATTTTATTGCCTTGCAATAATCATAACACATGCCAACGGTGTTGAAGTTTCTCTACTTCATTAACCTTAAAGTACTTAAACTCACAAGTATCTCTTCAAATGTAGTGACATTTATGACTTAGCTTATAGTTTACCTAAAACTCCTAAGTATTCACATCACTTCACTTTGGAATCACCCAAACGACATTCCACATCACTTCTCCCCAATTTATCCCCCACATTTCAACTATTTCGCCATAGTTGTTGAAACCAACGTTTCCGGTTTGGGGAATGTTGTTCATATACTTGCATGTATATGGTTGACATCATTTTCTCTTTGGGAAGAGTGGATCGACATCTCTAAGAAATATTCTTCGAATTTCTTAACTAGCTCTCTGACATAAATGTCAACATATGCTAGATTTTACTCATAAGTTAACCCTTGAACTTGGTTAACTCCACACAGTTTATGGACTTGCTCTTTCTCACTGTACACCTTCATACTTTGAAGTATGACTTGTTTCACCTTCCCACTTTTGTCTTATGGATAGGTTTACATCTCATTGTAGGGTCTTGAGATAGTAGCCGAAACAATGGCTATCTCTTCTCCCCCACAATTCTACCCTTTGTCAAACATCATGGAATAATCCCATTTATTTTCCATGGTTTTACTTATTGAACTTGCCAACCACTATATGTTTCTAATTGTTTACCAATGGTATGATCTCACTCGATTAGCATACCACAAACAATTCAGATTTTATTAGAAATATCATCTAATTATTTACCAATGGTATTGATCAAGGCAACTTGAGATGTCACAGGTAATTCAGATGCATTCCAGTAATGGGAATTCCATCTAATTACTTACCAATGACATTTCATCTATGTAACATGACATACCACAAGTAATTCAAACAAATTTCTAATTCAATTGTCTAATTACTTTCCAATGGTATAAACTTCGTAAATATACCATAAGTAATCCAGACTTTAAATTCAATAAGATCATCTCAATTGAGCTCTCATTCCAAATTGTTTTCCAATTATATACATTTATAAGCATCTTAGGAATTAGAATTCCTTATCGCTTATGGCTTACTCGTAATGCAATCCTTTAAACGTGCATTAACCAAATTTCATCTCCAACACATTGGAGGTATACTCTTTCATAACTATGTTCAACTTACTTTGAACATAACCTACGCAAACATTCTGGCTTAGATAGACTTGACACACAAGTCCCCACTAGCATCGCAACATAGGTTTTACACACCTATGATTGTTCATAGTTTCCCACTAGATAGTTTATTACTATCCAAACCACCGTTACTTAGAGTCCATGAAGGACTATCATAAGTACTTCCATCCTCTCATGCATCACCTTGAATGAAAAGGGTCCAAATTAAATTGGCACACTTTTATTCATTGATGACTCGATATTTGCACATGTTTTCCCCTTTGTTTCTTGATCGTTTAAGCTTGAATTATCGCTTCTTTGGCCTATTTTATGCTAGATTATGTTCCTTTGTCACATTTAAGGTCCTAGCACTTAAAGTGAAGCGTATGCGCAAGTTTCAAGTCAATCGGAGATCAATTGGCGACCCGGGGGAAGAAACTCGGGTATGACTTGAAGAAGAATGGATTTCTACCTCTGTTTGTGATCATATAATCATTTAATCTTGTCATGAGAAGAAATAGGACGAGACTACGAGCGTCTGGGATCAAACGACACCTGATTTGGAGTCCGAACGAGGGAGAAACGAAGAATCAAAGATAGGGAAAAATTGGTTTCGGGCTTCTCTGAGAAACAGAAGGGGGCCCTGTCGTGACGCTAAAATCCCCGGTAGTGGATTCTTGGTCTTGACCGGAGATTTTCCCCTCTCTCCAGACGTTGCGTTTTGAAGATACCTGGTCGTCGCCTAAAATACCCGACAGGGGATTATGACCGGGGATCGCGAACGCAGGCTGTTAAAAGCCTGTTTTGTGCATTTTTGCAAGGGGAGAGCTGGGTTTTGGATCCCAAACACCC